AGGGGGGCTGCTGGCGGCCTGGAGCCAGGCCGCCTTGGCACTGCCCTATCGATCCCAGCAGCTGAGCTTGGCAGGGAACAGTGGAGTCCGAGAATTGCTGACCTGAGAGCCACCGTCAGCTAAAAGTCATCTGGACAGCTTTAAAATCTGGTTTAGCAGAACTTCAGTGTTGGCACAGGCAGATGTGCAGAACCACTTCTGCCAAGTTCTGATGTGTGCAGGCTGGGAAATCATCTTTTCTTCTCCCCTGGCACAGCTGAACACAAGCGCTGTCTATAAAGTGGATATCAAAAAGTATCTGCTGTGTCACAGAGTGTTTCAAGTTGACTAGTTCAAGGAGTGATTTCTAGAGATTCTGAGAATTTCATTAAAGTCGTTTTAATTAAGGCCAAGATATTTTTAAAACCATGAAAAATCTCAAGCTATCATGCAGTAAAACTGGTAGGGTGTGCTTGTAGCTTGGTTGTGAACTTTTCTTGAGAGGGCAGATGGATGTAAATTAAGATATATGGGGAAAATGAGAAGAACATCTGCCTTTTTCAGCTCTCTATGAGACATGTACAAGCAAGACAAAAATAAAACTGAGCCACTGAGCTTGTTTCAGCATATGGTAGGTGTAAGAAAATTTCTGGAAGTCCCTCTTCTCTCTCTTCAGTCCAGATGCACAGATCAATGGAGTATTTAACTACTTCTGTTGTTGATGGTTTATTTTTTTTTTTCTTTGTAGTGTGCTGAAAACACATGTTAAAATGCAAACGAGTACAAACAGCCACCGTGAATACCCAGCAATGTGTTCCCAGGTGATTCCTTGAATCCATGGCTGTTATTTGGCCCCTTTATTTTGACATTTAACAGGAAATTATGTTAGGTGTTCATATTTTCCTGGGATTTTTAATCTTGACCAGTACACAGGCAAGGATTTCTCTGTCTGCCTTTCACTTACACATTAAGGATCATAAAATGTAAGAAAATGTAGCATGAGAAAGTCAGAAGGCTTAGCTAATTTGTGAAGCACTGTCTACATACAGTCCAGGGTTTTTACCACCCTTTGCTGAGAAGGACTGTTAAAAGAAATAGAAAAGCTCACTGGAGTGCTAATCTGCTTTGGTAAGGACATTGATTCCTTGTGGGGTACAGACAGCAGTAATCCCAGTTCTCAGTCTTCCTCAACTCTTCTGGTGTTCCTGTCTTGTTCTGAAATCCTGGTGAGCAAAAAGACAAGTGGCAAGGTGTGTGGAAAGACAAGTGGAAAGATGTTTAATACATTTTGCTATGAGCATTTTTAATACATTTGGTTTTAGTACCAAATTAATGGGCTTTTTACCTTCTTTTTTTTTTTCTACTATCTGAGCAGCAAGATCAATCTTGCAGAGGCTTGGGGGTTTTGGTTTACAAAATTGTTGGTTTTCTAACATTGTTTAGATACATTAAATTTAAGAAGATTGGTGAGAAACAGAGAGACAAAACCAATAACTCAGCAGTGTTTTGCAAAGGGTTACTCCAAGGCACGTTCTTCTGAATAATGATGAATTGCTTCCTGATTTGTGGTCAGTGACTTTTTTTGGTATAATTACTGTCAAGAAGGAAGCTGAACAACCAGAGTACATTTCTTAGACCTAGCATAGTGGAGCATTTTCTTCAAAATCCTTACACCTTTTTTGACCAAACCCACTTAATATATGTTACTGGAACTGATGATTCCTTTTTGTACAAGAAAGTGACCTGTGAGTATATGTCCCAGAGCCATTTCAGATTCTGTTTTGTATGCCACTGTATGCTCGTAAGAGAACTGAAGGTTGTCTTTTTTTTTTTTTTGGTGTTCTCCTTTTAGCTATCTGGGCGGGTATAGACCAAAGAATGGAGGGGGATGGAGGGTGGTTTCATTTTGATCTGGAAGAGCAGTCATTCCAGTTCCTAACTTATTAGAAAAGCAAGCTCTGTAGCAGTGAAGTGATTGATAGATATTGCATATTTTTGTTTGCTGGAACTGGACTTTTAGGGGTTGCCTTTGATAGGGAAAAATAACTTCTGAAGATATTTGACAGTGTCTGTACATTTTGCTTACTGTTTCTTCTTGTAAATGTATTTCCAAAAAGCACATTTTTAAGATGGTTTTCATCATTAGCTTCCATATGTCTTAGGAAAATGCTAGTACCTAACAAAACTGTTCATATTGTAACCAACACGATTGTTCACTTATTCATTTCTAGTTTGCTGACCTGTCACAGAAAATTTGTTGCATTGTTTGCTTTATCTTGTTACACTAGGGGGACAGGGGAGAAGAGGGAAACTTCTCATTTTCCACTGGCAATGGACTGATCCTGTGCTGCTCTTCTTGCAGGTCACTGGAGTGATAAGCAAAGAGTACATCCCAAAAGGAACACGCTTTGGACCCCTGGTGGGAGAGATCTATACCAGTGATACAGTTCCCAAGAATGCAAACAGAAAATACTTTTGGCGGGTAAGTAGGAAAAAACAGCAGCTCGTTGTTGCAGTGAGCAGATCACTAAATGAGTATGGCTGAGAAGCTGGGTCACTTCCTGCTGTGTGATGCAGGGGACAGCCTCTGTATGTGGCCAGGCACAAACAGGGCCAGTGGGTGAATTAAGCTGAGCTAAAAGCCTGGCTGTCTTGGATGTAGGGACTGTGTGGGTGGAGAGAGCACTGCAGATGCACAGCCCTTCCTGGCTCATTCTTCCAAAATGTATCCGTGCTGATTCTGTAAAGAAATAGTTCTGCTGCTTGCTGTAAGGGCAAGTTATTTTGCATTTCTTCACAGTGGAAAGTCATTCTGATTTATGCAAGTATCACATCCTTGATTTTTCCCACCATGAAGAAGCTGTTAAAGTACTGCATAAACTTTCACTCTGGAATTATGAAACATTTTCTGACCTTTCTTCCTGCTTCTTGTATAGAGCTGCTATAACACAGTGGTAGTAGTCTTCAGCATATATCATTCAATTCATAAATCTTTCTAGGCCTCCTCAGAATTGTTGAAAAAGCAGCTCATGCAAAGGGAAAAGAGACAAACACCAGAGGTGGTGCCTAATTTGTACTCCATAGTATAAGCTGGAAGAAAGCAGCAGCCAATGTGTTTTGGTGTGGGCAGTGTGTGCTGTGGAATATGCCTCCAGTTTATCAGTTGACATAATCCTCATTTTCCTTACAGACACATTATTAATTGTTAGAGAACATTCCTTCAGCCCCATCTCATTCCATGGATTTGTTTTGCTGCCTTCTAGCCATGTAGGTTGTGTCTAAATCCGTGGATTTGGGACTGTGTCCAAGCCTCTGTGCTCAGGTGCCTGCCTGCCTTAGTAATATCCCAACCTCATATCCAGGTGAAACCCAGGGCATGCACCAGCATTCCCCACACCCCTTTCTTCCTACCTAATTGAATCATTTTGGTTTTCTCAGATCATCCTTGTACGATGTAATACAGCATTGCACAGGCAGTTATTTGCATGAGTGTTTTTACAGAGCGGGCAACTGTTTTCTCATTAACAAGGCCACAAAATGTTTCTTTTTGTTGAATTTTTTGGGAGCTTGTGTCCAGTGTAGGAAGAGACCAGGAGGCTGACACAGGGAAGAGGGGCTGATAGCCATCTTGCAGGACTTCATTCCTACATTGCACTGAGAAAGATGACATCATTCTAATGATGTGATTTTAAGCCTTAATGTGGAGGCATCCTCAGAAATAATATCCTAGGAGCCATCTAGGCATCATTAAATTCCCTGTTATAACCTCTTGATTCGTTCAAGGCAGACTGCTGCACCGAAAATTAATTCCTTCCTAGGGGTCTGACACAGCCTTGCATATGCAAAGGAAATTGTGGGAGATAACTTCCCACATGTTATTAGAGGCATCCTGGGCTCGCTGGCAGGGGCGGGCACATCTGCTGGGCGCCCGGGGCCGCTGCCCGCGCCAGGGGAGCGGGGCCGGCCGGGCCCGCGTCACTTCTGGGAAGCGCGCCGTGACTCAGCACATCTGGGCGCGCCTTCCCCAGAATAGGTGGGAGCTGGGGGTGCCTCTGCCGGGGAGCCGGGGCTGTGGCCCTGACGTGGGAGCGGCGGAGGGCTGGTTTGGGAAGTGGTGGCAGGCGTCAAGCGCCGGAGCCCCGCGTTCCTGGAAGTTTGCGAGCCGGGGTGAGCGGAGAAACGCGGAGGCTCCTCTTGATGCAGCACAACTCGCCCGGCTCCCTTCCATTTTCTCATAACAAACACACCGCAAAATCTCTCGCAAGCTGCTTTGATGAGGCCACATGTATTTCCCCCTTCTCAGTTTACAGGAAGTTACTCTTAAAGAAAGTGATTCTGGTGTTTACGGCCCGCGTTAAAGGGCCAGGCCGCCTCCCCTCTCTGCCCGCCGGGCTCCGGGGGCGCGAGAGGGTCCCGGCCGGCCCGAGAGGTGCGGAGACAGCGCTGGGGGCACAGGGGCAGGAACGCCCCGCGGAGGGTTTTCTCCCCGAGATAAGCTCTGTCTCCCCTTTGGAAAGGCATTTCCTGCTCAGCGAGGTGTGAGCTGCTCCCACTTCAAGGTCTGGCTTTTGCCTGGTCATCTGTTTTCAGAAAACCAGGAACCCCATTTCATCCAGCATGGAGCTAGCTCCCCTTAAGAGTAAGCAGTGTGTGTTTTTACAAGTGTGTTTCCTGGATTTCTCTGGAAATTTTTTTCTTGTTTTAAATAATTCTCTTATTATTTCAAGAAACAGTAGCTTTTGTCAGTGATGGGAACTTCTTTCCCCTGAAACCACTGAACAGTTTTCAGATTCATGTTTTCTTGCCCCTCTGTGGACAAGTCAGAGCATGTCCCTTGGTAGGAAAAGTGACATCTCATGGGCTAACCCCTTGTCAGGTCTTCCTTATGGCAGGTGAATTTCATCTTTGCCTCACCCAGCCTTCCTACAAAAGGGTTACAGTTCAACTATGAGCAAGTGTTGCTTTAGGACTCGGGGGGGTGGAGAATGTTTGCATAGTTTAAACCTTTGGGTGGAGGTGGTAGGAAACTGCAAGTACAGAGGCCATAGAAAGAGGCGAGAAGAACTCTGACATAGCACAGCCAGTCAGTCTTATACACAGGTGACTCAAAGCATTAATGCAAGCATGCACTCAGACCTGCCCTCATCAGCATCACCCACTTGTTGATCAGAGCACCAGGAAAAGGGCTCTAAGGTAGACTGTTCACACAGAGAGAGTACTCTGCATTTCAGATTTTGGGTCTTGTTTTCCAAAGCTAGCTAAGATTAAATGGAAAAGGTGACTGTGGACTTTCCTTTAAATGCCTTCTTAACTCAGAGGATGTCATTGTTGGAAAGGCATGAACACAGCTTGAACTCTTACTTCATCTTAAAAAAAAAAAAAGGGAGCTTATCACTTTTCCTGTCTGGACTCTGTGCCTACATGTTGCATATTGTGCCTATATATATGTATATATATTCATAAACACTTCCTCTCTGTTCCAGATCTATTCAAGTGGTGAACTTCACCACTTCATTGATGGATTTAACGAGGACAAGAGCAACTGGATGCGTTATGTAAACCCTGGCTACTCTGTTCAGGAGCAGAACTTGGCTGCTTGTCAGAATGGAATGAACATCTACTTCTACACCATCAAGCCCATCCCTGCCAACCAAGAGCTGCTTGTGTGGTATTGCCGAGACTTTGCAGAGAGGCTGCACTATCCCCCCTCCAGAGAGCTGACAATGATGAACCTCAGTAAGTGGATTACAGTATAAATAAGGAATGCTAGTAATGTCTCTTCTGCCTATACAATCTAATAATAAGTTGTATAATTACACAGCTTCATCATCTGTTGTGTCACAGGAGGTAGCTTGGAGTGGAAAAGGGGAATTAAAAAACCCAACACAAGAGAATGAGTTCCCTGTGCCTGTTCAAATGGAAAGAGATTATAAAATCTGAGTAGTTGTTTGTTTACAATCTGAGTCTTATCTGGTGAAATTCTGGACAGACAACCTGACCTCTGTTTTCCTAACCATTGCTGTTGGCTCACTCTCGGACTGTGCAATTTCAGATCTCATGGTGTGTTGAGCAAAAGTCTGCTTTGGTAGCATGCACTAAAGGCTGTCCACTCATGCTCCCAAAGGGCTGCCCTCACTGTACCAGGAAGTGGCAACGTGCCATGACTCTGTCTAGGTGTCTGACAAAATACGTGTTTACTGCATCATGCACTTTGAGCCTTGCATCTACCCTTACTTATCTTGTGGGAGCAAACCTCCTGTGGTCTTCTCATCTGGTTACTTGTGTTTTAAGCTCAGTGTACTTTGTCCCCATTTCTTGACTTTTTATTGCAGCTTTCATTTTCTGTTCAAAAATAATAGCACTGGTAGCAGAGGGAAGAGGAGTTTCCAGGAGTTTGTGTTCCTCTGTGGTTTCTGATTATTTCCAGCCTTGGTGCTTTACTTCTCGTTTACTTCTCGTTTAATCATTGCCTGACACCTCACCCAGAGCCCCTTCTAGAGAAGAAAAGATTCTTGCTGACTTCTCAGTGGACTCTTAGGCTACTTCCCCTGTTGCTGCTCTTAAAACAGAGTATTCTTTTGTCCTTCTGCCAGTGATTACATTGAAACTTGAAGGAAACACTGCAAGCAGTTTTGTTGGGGTTTTGTTTTTTTTTTGTTTTGTTTTGTTTTGTTTTTTTTTATAAAAAGAACTATTTACAGTTATTTGGCAACAAGGAATGGGTTATAAAATAGCAGTGTTACTTGGGGATCATTAGAACTGTCATCCCATATTATAAAACTTGTATCACACATTCAGATTAATCAAAAGTACATCTATACTCTGTGGGTGTCACCCTTTCAACTAGCTTTTTGTCTTTCACTGCAAATTAATAGAAGAAAACTTGTCTCCTAATGACAGAGAGAAGAGAGAGAGGGAATTTTCTGTTCAGAAGCTGTCTCACTGATTCTGTCATCTTTGCACATATGTCATTTCACCACTCTCTGTGCAGTTTTATTTCCTGATATAATGAGCTGTTAGTTTTTCAGTGGGACCTGCAGGTGAGATGAGACAGCAGCATGTAGGGCTCTGGTGGATGAGGAGTTTGCTAAAATCTAGTCAGGCACATTTGCTCACTAGCTAGGAGGATACACAAACGCGAATTCAGTTTCCTGCATCTGCTGGCACCTTGGGCTTCCTTGCAGAAGTAGCAGTTATTGTATTTGTAATGTGTTTCCTACTGTGTCTGGTTACTGTTAATCAGGTCAAAACTAGGAGTGACTGGACATGGCAGAATAACTGATTTCAGTAAAAGTAGTAGGCTCAGTATCAGGATTTAAAGAAATGGAAACCTGAGCCACAGTTTTGTATTTCAGCCTTAATATTTGCAGTATTTCCAGCTGCTGAGTTTGAAATAGACATTCTTCTCTTTTTTGAGATAATTACATTTAAACCATTTAGAAATTTTATGTTAGCTCCTTACACCTAAGGAACATAGCAGTTCAGAAAATGAGAAAAACTTTTCACTATTTTTTTTTTTTCTCCCCTCATTCTTATGAGGAACACAATCAGGTCTAAAGCCTGCAGATGGGCCAAAAACCCTACAGGTACCATAAGGATTGAGGTTTTCTAAAGTTAGCCTTTTGAAAAGTGTGGAAGAAAAATCCAAAAGTCTCCCAAAGATCTTTATTTGCCAAAGTCCCTGTAGCAATGGTGCAAGCAGGGTTTTTCCAGCATTAGTACTGGAACCAGATGAATTTACTGTGAATGCCAGCACTGTTTAGCTTTCTTCTGCTCCTTTCTCCCAGGCCACTCGTTAAATCTAAAATTAGAGAGCATCGTGGTGCCTCTCCAGCCTCTCTCTGTCACAAAGGCTGGCCAAGGCACCCTGGCACTGCATTCATCCATGAGTGAAGTGCAGGGGTTGTCCCCAGTTCTCTGGCACCCTGTACCTGCTACAGATGTGGGGCTTTGGCCTAGCAAGACATCTGAACACAGCCTTGCTTGAGGGGACACCCTCCTTCCCCCCAACCTGCTAGGAAGTCAGGAAAGTCCTTTCCAGCCAAATGGATTGCTAATAATTTGGTGTTTAAAGTGGTATGGCCTCCCTCAGAAGAGCAGAGAGGTGCATCACCACCTCTCCCAGCCTGTGACTGCTGGTTTTGGCACCCTCTGAGGAGGAGGGAGGGAAAGTTGGGGTCTGGGTCCCAAGAGGCAAAGCTGAAGTCAAAGTCTCCTCCCATGGAAACACGCTGGTATGGGCAGGAGGCAGCCAGTGGCCGTGGTGTGTTGCACCCTGATCTCTCCCTCCCTTAGCTGTGTCTTGGGTGTGCAGAGCACACTGGTGCCCGTGGGAGGCTTTGGAAGAGTCTTGGCTGGCTGCCCAGCACAGGAGAGGCCACCTGGGACACACACCCACAGAGACCTTCCAGTCTTGCCAACTTAAAATATAGGCAGCTGCTTTAAGTGCCTCAAGGGTTTGGGGATCACAGCCTTAGAGTTCAGCACCTTAGCTCCTCTTTAAGCACCAGAGCAGGATGGGCCTCCGGGGAAAAATGTATCAGGGAATTTCTCTGGCTTTATTTCCTGTAATTAGTGGCTTCAAAAATGAGAGAACTACCACTTTAGAGCATAAATGTATTTACACACCCACATGTAACATCTACTTGCCTGTGTAACAGCAAACTTTCAAATTAAAGGTAACTTCCCCAGCATTAGCTCATTTGTGCCGCAGAAGGAAAGCATCCAGATGCAAGACAGCAATTAGGCATGTACTTAGTTGTGGGTTTAACCCTGTCCTCTGTGTTTTCCTGAACTGGGGCCTTTGACCCAGTGTGCTTCAGACGCTGGAGCACACACCTACCTCCACAGCCATGATTAGCTCCCAGTGGAGCTACGTAACTTCAAATGGATGTTGAAGTGCCTGCTAGGAGTTGCACAATAGTGGTAGAGGCAAGACTCCACATTATCCCAGTGCTGGAAACTCAAATGGCATTCCCTTCCTGCCTGTTTTGAGGTCTCTAATGTTTTCTGTCAGGATTGGAGATGTCACCTTCAGATGGTGCCATTGTCCTGTAAATAGTTTTAAATATGGTGGCACCAGATTTCTGTATTCTGCTAAAAATAAATTTAAAGTAATTTGTTAAATGTGCCTAACCTCATTCAGCTGCACCTTCAGATCGTCTTTTAGTCTGTGATATTTTAGTTAGCAAACACTGAGGAAATTTGCTTTGGCGGTTCCAAATGGTTTAGAATTTCATTCTTACCTCAACATGGGAGGATTATTTTAGGATAGAGGGGTGGAGAGGGTAACAGTTAAAAAAAACCAAACCAAAACCAAACAACAAAAACCCAACAAAATCCAAACAATTGCATTGACTCAGGACATGACTATTTGATAATAATGTTCATATATTGCAATCATATGATGCAACTTCCTGCTGCTCATGTCATGTTTGTCTCCTCAGTCAAGTACAGGCAGGTGACATCTTTTGGTCAAGCTTTAGAAAAAAAAGTTCAAGCTGGGGGAAGATAATTTGCATATTTACAAAATATTTGGCAATCTTTTTGTTTCGTTAACAGGTTTAAGAAGACATTATTTAAAGTGTTTCCTGTTCTATGAAGATTAACTTTGTAATACTTTTTTCTTAAATGCGATTTATTCTTCTCTTCTTCCTGCTGGCCCTGACATGCTGGCCGTTAGCTCAGCCCTGTCACTTGCTTTCCCTTTTGTTTATGGGCAGTTTCACTTTCTGGTTTTGAAGCTTTTCTGTTTGGGTTGAGAGGAAACATCTGCACTTGCTTAAAAAAATGCCTCCTGGAATGTTCAAAAGGGCTCAGGAAAATGATTTTTAAATGATAGGAGAAGTTGTCTTCACAAAATCAGAATTTAAGGACTGAAGTTGTCTTAATATTGAGAATTATTTGAAGGCTCCCAGAAAGACCTTCTCTGAGCAAAAGGTTTTCAAAGGCATGTCACACTGCCGTGGACACATTTAGAAAACAGATGATCAAATTTTGTACTTCTGAATGTTGGTCTCTGTTCTCATTTTGAGTTGAAACACTCTTTGTTTTGCTCGCTTCACAACTTCGAGGTTCTCTTTCTACTAGCAAAAGAGGTGCTTAATTTAGATCGAAAATGTGAATCGGCATAATTAAGCTCTACCACTCGAAGTGTTCAGTACCATCTCACTCCTGAAATTACTGTTGCAATTACTGTCTGCCTACAACCGTTTTTCAAGTTTTTAGAAAAGAACAGATCATTGTTTTTATAAAATGTTTCTCAGGGTACAGCTCAGAGCACAGGAACCGAGAGCAAAGTCTAGAGCTCTGCAGCAGTCTGTAGCTGGAACACCCACACTGGGGTGACTTCAGGCAGCTCCTTCACCCAAATTTTATCAATACTTAAAAGTAACAGTTTTGTCCCTTTTCCTCTTGCACGCACTCATTAATGTCACATCTGAGCAAATAATCTGTTGACCTCAGTTAGAAGTGTCAGGATCCTCAAGAGGCAAGTCTGGGGTTTTTTTTATTTCTTCCACACCCACCCCCACCCCCCCCCCGCGCCCTCTGATCAGTAACTTAAAAATGCAGCTGCACCATTCTTGTTTTGTTGTGAATCTCTTTTCTGTGTGTCCCTCTGACCACAGAAACTAGACAGATCTTGGAGGAGTATGTGCCTATATTTACTGTATATGTATATATATGTGTGTGTGTGTGTATGGGGGTGGGAGGGAGAAATGCATTTCAAGAGTGAATGGGAGACATTCTGATTGGTAAAAACTTAAATCGAAGATCACAAGTTTAAAAAAATTCCATTTATAAGAAATATCTCTTTAACTTTGAAGTGTAGCTCCTTTAAGAGTAGCAAGAAGGGTTGTAAACCTCTCAATCAGTTTCAGCCCTGGTTTAAATCCACCTTCAGTATAAAACTTAAACCTCTCCTTGGCCCTGGACATTACCTTCTCTTATTTTACACAGTGCTGACACACTTGTTTATGTTTTGATCTCTCTGGTGTTCCCAAGTGTCCCTTGTGCTCAGGTAATAAGGGAAAAAGCCAAGAGGGGATTTATGGACCAAAGATAGCTTGCAAACTAAAGACAGCTATCACAGTTAGACTTGAAAAAATGTCTTTAAATATCATAACGTCTGTTTACACATGGAAATTAGTAGGAGGGACAGCTTTACTGGGAAAATTCAGAAGGGAAGAAAAGAGCAATTATCAAGAGAGAGCATGGGATTGTTGCACAAAGAAAGTTACGATCTCTGCATGAGCTTCCTTTCTGTCACTCCTGGGCTTGCTCCTGCACATAAGACACGTACATCCCCACCCTCATGTTTAACCTTATGACAGTGGGAGCTCTTTCTCCAGCTGAAGAAGCCCCAGTTTCTCTATCACATTTCCAGCACCACCAGCATTTCTCCTTCCTCTTCCCCTCCCCCTGAGTTTTTTTCTTTAAAAGAGAAAAGTGTCAATTTGAACTTCCTGCTTGACAGACCCCACTGAGAAACTGATATGGGCCTGATAAGGTATTTATTTATTTTTCCTGCTGCAAGGCTTCACAAGTCCTGCCTCCCCCCCCCATCCAGTTTTCAATACTGCCTGGTCCTGATACTTCCTGATGCTGATAGTGTCACCAGGAATGTTTGCTCTGAAACACTGCTGTGGTGAAAGGCAGCTGATAAGAAGATACAGATAATATTACTCACAGTGCCATTGTGGAGCTTCTTGAACCTAGTAGGACCTCTGTGCTATGCCCCAAAATCTGGCTGACATTTAGAAAATGAGTTATCAGTCCACGAGAACAGACAAAATTACCAAGGAAAGTAGATGTTTTTTAAAGCCTGAAAACACAATACGTTATTATTTTATTTTTGATACAGCTCTGCATTAAACTTTGGACACTAAGAGAAGTAATTGGGAAGCTGTCGGTGTGCTTATGTGTGCATATGCTTGCTGTACAACACTTTTAAGTTTTGTTATACATATTTTAATTGAACTTAAATGTGTTCAATTGCATTTCATTGGAGCTTGAAAATAGCCAAACTATTCAAAAATCTCAAACTAAATTTGCTTGTTACTAGTCTAATGCCATTTCAAAAAGGATGCTACTGTAAAGTGGGTTGCTGTAAGTAGGAGCATGTTTTGCAAGCAGCTGTTTTCTTGGATATGTTTAATAAATGGCTTTCTTTGCCTTATAGGGTAATGTTGCCAAATGATAGATTCCATCAGGGTAGTGAATAGTGAAGCAAAGAATCTGTGTTGAAAGCAGTGTGGTCACTGCTGGTTCTCACGTTCCACACTTGGTTCAGATGATTCTCCAAAAATCAGAAATAACTGTTTCTCACCTCAGATAGTGAAGTAAGAACAGTCAGTCACAGGAGCAGAAACATTTCTAAAGGACTGCAGTGTTCCTGAGTCATGTACCTAGTGGTGTTGGCTTGTACCTCCTGATGGAAAACCTTGCACTAACTAACTATGATTATGAAACCTTCTTATAGTTTCCCCTCCTATAATAAAATATCTTACAAGTAATCAAGATTGTGTAACAAAGATAAAGGCAAATTTGTTTTTCTACTGAAGTCGTCTTTCAGTGTGCTGTTAAGATTGTATTATGTCCATACAGCAAGGTCTTTGAATACAAATAAATAGAATATGTGCTGACCTGAGATGAATGTATGCTAGCTTCTATTTCCTTCTAAATACATATTTCTTTTCCCCCCCTTTTTTTTTTTAAAGCACATTTCAACTTAAGCCGGAGCCAACCAGTCTTGCTTTCTTTTGCTTTGCTTCAGCATTTTTTTTATAAAATACAGCTGTAAGCAGAGGAGTTTTGCATAGACTGAATGCCACAGAAATCTGCAGTAAATAGTCTGCTTTGTTGTAGATGTTCCTAAGCAGTATATTTAATGAGTAATGATCTGTTTACTGATGGAGAATACCTTCTCTTTGAAGAAGGCTTTCATCCTAGCCAGCCATGGTTTTTTTGGTACTGTAAGTAATTGAACTGGCTGGTGAAGTGACTGCTGCGGTTTGGCAAAACCCGATTTGTCATGCCTTGTTATTTTACTGAGGAACATTTCTGGGAGCTTGTGTTCTGCAAAGTCCTTCAGTTAAACCTGTATTGTGAACAAATGCTCATTACCACATTTATTAGAAATACTGCTTAAAGAGACATTCAATAGCAAAGTTAGGCAAATTTAAAGGGGAAGAAAGTTGAAATCACTTTGCAGAGTGGAGGCTGGTACTCTGCAAATGCATCATCATCCAGATCTCTATGTACTCGTTGGTATCCCTTAAATTAACAATGCTTTTTATTAACACTTATTACCAGCAGGCATTTCCTCACACAGCCATTAGTTTTGTGGCAAGTTGAATGATTGTTCATGTCCGAGAGTAGCCCTTCCTTCCCACTAAATTTGTAGGGGTTAGATTCTGTTTTGAAAAGAGAAAATGCCAGTGACATATCTAAATAATTGTTATCTTGTCTTTGTATTTCAGCACAAACGCACGTTAATCCAAAGCAGCACAGCACTGATAAAGATGAGCTTTATCAGAAAAGCGTCCCAAAGAAGGAGCACAGTGTGAAAGAAATCCTGAAAATGGAATCCAATCCTCCTAAAGGAAAAGACTTCTTTCAGACCAACATTTCACCAGTTACTCCAGAAAAAGACTTGGATGATTTACGTAAGAACTATAGCCCGGAGAGGTGTTTCTTCCCTCGAGTTGTCTACCCGATCCGACCTCACATTCCTGAAGACTATCTGAAAGCTTCCTTAGCATATGGCATGGACAGACCCAGCTACATTACTCACTCACCCATCCAAGCATCTACTACACCAAGTCCTTCCGGGAGGAGCAGCCCAGACCAAAGTTTAAAAAGTTCAAGCCCTCACAGTAGTCCGGGGGTCACAGTTTCACCTCTGGCACCAACTTCCCAAGAGCACAGAGAGCCATACCCTTACTTGAATGGATCATATGGCTCAGAAGGATTGGGGTCTTATCCTGGATATGCACCTCCTGGCCACCTCTCACCTGCCTTTCTACCGTCCTATAACCCCCATTACCCCAAATTCCTGTTACCTCCATTCAATATGAGCTGTAATAACCTGAGCGCTTTGAACAATATCAATGGCATCAACAATTTCAATCTCTTCCCAAGGATGTACCCTCTTTATGGCAACCTGCTCAGTGGAGGTAGCCTTTCCCACCACATGCTCAACCCCACCACGCTCCCCAGCTCATTGCCCAGTGAAGGAGGCCGTCGACTGCTGCAGCCTGATCATCCAAGAGACTTCCTCATACCAGCACCCAACAGTGCCTTCTCTATCACGGGCGCTGCTGCCAGCATGAAGGACAAGCCATGCAGCCCTACCAGTGGGTCCCCCACCGCTGGTACAGCAGCCAGTTCAGAACACATAATGCAACCTAAACCTACCTCAGTGGTGTTGGCTGCCACCGGCGGTGAAGAAGCCATGAATCTCATTAAAAGTAAGAGGAATGTGACCGGTTACAAAACCCTCCCATACCCACTGAAAAAGCAGAATGGGAAGATCAAGTACGAATGCAATGTTTGCTCCAAGACCTTTGGCCAGCTCTCCAATCTGAAGGTAGGCAGTGGAGAATAAGACAGGAGCCTTCTTTGAAGGCTCAGGTTTCTCCCTGTAGGTTTTTGAGGAAAAGCAGGGTCAGGCCTCCCTTGCTTTGTTAGGCTGTTTATGTGTCTGGGCTTAATACAGTATTCCCCAGCAAGAGAACGTGGCTGTGTGCTTTAATACTGACGCCACCTAATTACCTAGATAACATTGTATTTTGGCAATGGGACTCTTCCGCTGACTTTAGGAAACATCTGAAAGCACTTTTGTTGTAGTACTGGAAACTGCAAATTGTTAATTGCTTTGTGTCTCCCTAGGTGCACCTCCGAGTACATAGTGGAGAGAGACCATTTAAATGCCAGACTTGCAATAAGGGCTTCACGCAGCTGGCTCACCTCCAGAAGCACTATCTGGTACATACAGGAGAAAAACCCCACGAGTGTCAGGTATGTAACACAGAGAGAGAGGTGACTCCTTTTCAGGCCAAAGGGATGGCAGGGCTTTGCACACCCCCTACAGTGGGCAGGGAGGGCTGAGGGACAAACCCTTGGCTGCTCAGGGCTAGAATCTGCACCACAGCCGGGCCCAGCCCTCGTGCAGCAGCGTCTGTGAGACAGCACGATTGCCTGCAGCCTGCTAGGGCAACACCTGCCTGATAAAGTTTTGCCATCAGCCACACTCAAAATGACATTCAGCAATATTTAAATAAAAAAGGTGGGGATTTTTTTTCCCTTTGTGAGAAAGTGTGAAGATATAGAAAGTTGCTGCTTCATCCTGCCATCTTCTCCTAGGTGTCTGTGATTTAAACCATAAAATCGCCTCCCACTCATTCGCTGTTTCTCTGCCACCCCCCACATTAGGTTTGTCACAAGCGGTTCAGCAGCACCAGCAATCTCAAAACCCACCTGCGGCTCCACTCTGGAGAGAAGCCTTACCAGTGCAAGCTCTGCCCAGCCAAATTCACCCAGTTTGTGCACCTGAAGCTGCACAAGCGTCTCCACACTCGGGAACGCCCCCATAAATGCATCCACTGCCACAAGAGCTACATTCACTTCTGCAGCCTCCAGGTCCACCTGAAGGGCAACTGCCCCGTCGCCCCGGCCTCCGGCCGCTCCATGGAGGACCTGAACCGAATCAACGAGGAGATCGAGAAGTTCGACATCAGTGACAATGCTGACAAGCTGGAAGAAGTGGAGGACAATATCGACTTAACATCCATCGTGGAGAAGGATATACTGACCATGCTCAGGAGGGAAATGGAAGGAGCTAACCTGAAAGTCTCTCTGCAGAGGAACCTGGGAAATGGGCTTATCTCCTCAGGATGCAACCTTTACGAGTCGTCAGATATGTCAGTTATGAAGTTGCCTCACGGTCACCCACTACCTCTGTTACCTGTAAAGGTCAAGCAAGAAACAATTGAACCAATGGACCCTTAAGACTTTTTGGCAAAGTGATTTTTTTTATTTATGACTTGGCAAGTCAGGGTGCCTGTAGCAGTTGCTTGTACATAGTTTCAGTGCTGCAAAGCAATCTTGGCTTACAGTAGTTTCCCTACGCTCTCCAGCTGAAAGAAGGAACTCCAAAGTTACTGTTTTCTCAGGGCATAAAAAGGGGCAAAGGACTCTGCATTGCCTCGCCAGTTACTAAGAGACAATCATTTATCCATAATTATTTTTTCAATGATAGTACTTCATAATTTATTATGCAATTAATCATTCTAAAAGCAATAATTAGGAAAATGTTTACAATGACTGGAAAAATTCATTGTAATTTTTACTTTAAATGTTTTTATTTTTTGTTTTATGGGCCATTCTTTGTAGATATTTTTTTTCTGCACATCTGTTTTAAGAACCTAAGATTAGGGTTTCAGTAAATGTGTTTTATGTACCAATGTCTTTTAAACAAATGTGGTTTTTCATATTGCCAAAGTTGGACATGTGACATACGGAATCCTAGATCAGTTGGTTTGAAAAAAAATGCTGTGTACTTTCATGAGCAAATCACCCCATTGGGAATTGAAAAGGAGAAAAAAAATAGCAAACCCAGAGTAGCAGCAAGCAGGGAAGAAACTTTTTCTCCTGCCTCTCTGAGGGGAGGAGAAAGATTCTTGTACCTGCAGCTCTCCCTGGAACAGATGTGGCACAGCAAACACCGACCTGCCATGGACAATACCACAGGTTTTTAGAACACAGCTCCAGCCCCACGCATTATCATGTAACTTTTAGACCAAAGGAACACATGAGCTTAAAGTGGCTTTTCCAAAATAAAATCTCACTTACATTCTTTTTTTTTCCAAAAGCAGTTTAAAAGCAAAGACACAAATATTATTCTGCCTAAAAGGGGGTATAGGCGGATTTCTTTCTTCTGATTTTTGTTTTATTTTGGGGTTTTTTTTGGCCAGAGCCTTCCAGGGATAAAAAAAAAAGAGATGGTCATATTCCCTGAGTAAGAAGGGGTTCAGTTTTACTTGTATTTTTCTCTCCCACTTTGCCTGGGTAGAAGTGGGGAACAAAGTCCTTTCCTGGCACATAATTTTTTTCTTCCTTCCTGTACGACTCAGATTTTTCTCAGTATTTGTGTTTGTACATTTTGTGGTTAATTTAATTAAAGAAGAAAAGGGCATTGCAAAGTTGTTGAACAACAATTACCTCAGTGCTTGTGTCCAGTGGTGCAGACAATGCTGTTTTACCTAAATGCTTTGCTACTTTAGAGAAGAAACCAAAATGTGCACAGGGAAAGATAGAATGCACGTCCTTTTATCTTTTTGTTTTGCTAAGCCCAAAGATGATATGGTGACGTTTGAGGTGTAGCAAAGAATACATGTATATTTATAGATATATTTATACCACTATACGATATATGTATATGTATATATATTTATACCACTTAAGTTGTGAGCCAAACCATGTAATAAAACCTATTTTTCATCTAAGTGTGAAAATCAAATGTTATCCCAGTTCTGCAAATAACCAATGACCTCAAAACCAGAAGGTTGAACCAAGGCATTTATCACTTGCAAATACACATGCACAGCTGAACTTGCAAACACGTGAATGACATCATCATGCATCCACGTGTGGCATCTCAGTGAATTTGGTGGGAATTACCCTGTTTGCAGGCCAGGGCTCCTTCAGTCCCCCGCTCTCCTGGCAGTCTGCACTGGGGGGGAAGGAGGCTGGTGGTCAGTCAACAGCCAGCCAGAAAATGTAACTGAAAGAACTTGAAATGAAGCCAAATACGACCCGTGTGTGATGTGGTCACAAATCACAGTAAGGGCAGCATGGAAGTCAGGCGGGACAAGGCCCTTGTCTCATTGTGCCCTGCCACTAACGAGTTGCACAGTCAACTCACAAGAACATTATTAGCATTATTACACACCTCCCCACCATGTATCCCTTTTTGTCTGGTTATGTTTCTAAAAATTTTTTTAGAAGTCCACCTCAACAATTCAGGATTTGGTGGTCTTTTTTTTCCAGCAAACTTCATTTTAATGCCTTCTGTTAAAAAACCCCAAACAATCCTGAAATACAAGTCTCTAAACAAACCTTTTGAAGGACTCCAGTTCATTACATTTCCACTCCTGCAAATTGTGAGGCTGACATCTTTTAAATGTAGCAATAGTTCATAAATATAGTACTTAATTGTAGGATAAACCAAAGTATCACTACTCTGTCACTGGACACACACTTTTCCTATTATTGCCTGTAGTGCTTTCTTGTATTTGATACAAAATTTACAAGAATTTATATGCATCAGCTTTAAGAATTGTTACTTCTCTTTATTGTTTCCCCCTTCCCTTAGACGTTTTACATGTGAATGTAGCAACAATCAACAGTGTTTTTGGGGGTTTTTTTGTCTCTCTTAAGAAAGACTCTGACCAAAGTTAACAGGCTTTTTACTTTGCTAGAACAACAAACTATTATATGTTTACGTATTGGTTTACATCATTATTTATGTGCAAATTGTCAAATGTAAATTAAATATAAGTGTTCATTGCTTTACTGATGCTTCCCTTGTCTTCAATCTCTCTGCACCAGCTGGGTGGTTGTGGCCCCAGTGCTGGTACACTGAGGGTAGTGGTGTCTTCAGCAATGCTGTCCCTGCCCTTGTGGGTTCTGATTTTCCTTCACTGAAAGGTGCAAACAGTGATGCCAGAACTGAATACCCTGGCTTCGTTTTTTACAGAAGTTTCCTCAATTTCAGCCAGTACCTTTTTTTAGGAAAAAAAAGCCAAGAATTTTCAGTGTTTCAATGGAAATGCTTGAATGCTATCTGCCTCAGAGATACATGACCAGGGTTCTCATTTACATTTTTCCAAATGATTGTCATTTCTGGCCTGAAACCCTAACCACCAGGACCACAATGACACACTCAAAATGTCAGTGTGAGACCACTTAGTCCTGTCTCAGCATGGTGGGAACTGCATTCAAAACAAATGTGGATCTGGTGTAAGTGCTCACAGAGGAGATGTGAACACTGCACTAAATCCAGGGGAAGGTCAAGTGTCTGCCCCTCCCTCCCCACCTCAGCCCAAGAGTAACAGCAGGCCAGGATGCCCCAGAAAGCCTAATTCAACATTTGCTACTTCCATCATTTACTGTGAGATCTAAACCAGAGAGGCCATGTGCTGCCCTGCCCTACCTGAATGTTAAAGAAATAACGTTCCTGCACATATTGAGACACTCAGCGCCGTATGATGTTTTAAAAGTATTTCACTGTCCTCTTAAAAAAATTCATTTAAACATCTGTCTCAAGAATTTGAAATACTGCCAACACCGAACTGTGGAGTTAAGAAAACCAGAGCACTGTTGTCATAAATGTGCCAAATGCAGCATGTTATATTCCTATATTCGACAGAGCTATTGCTGTAATAATTTTTAAAAAAAAACATAGGATAACCATTACCGCCATAAATCATACTTCATTACTTGGCAAAGCGTTACGTTGTGCTGGAGAGTTATGTCCTGGGGACACTTGTAAGCTTTAGAAGATGTTTAATAAAACACATTACATAAAAAGACAATGCACGTTATAGATCACAGCCTCGCTAGGCCGAGCGTGGCAGCTGCTGCCTTGGTTCCTGGCAGCCCCCAAGCCCCGGGAGCCGCTGAGGGCCTGGGGGCTCCAAGCAGTGCTACAGTGGGATTCAGCCATGGCAACACCACCACCACCCGGTCAGACAACCACAACAGCCTTAGCAAGGGGCTGGGGGGAAAGCTCATCAGTTTGGGAGCTGCCACAAATGCGGCCCTGCAAGACCGCATGCCCCGGCACAGGGCCGCTGGCGGCCTGTGGGCAGGTGGGCCTGATGCCCATCTTGCGGTGTCAGTGGGAAAATTCTGAGGGGCTGAACGTGTTGGGCAGTGTGGCCTTGCCAGCTGAGCTGCTTCGCCACAGGACAGGGCGAATTACAGCTGAGATAGACTTAAGCGTGGATTTAGGGAGGATGCTGCTGCCCCTCTGGCTGGTTTATAAAGCCCAGTGCTTCTCGGCTGGGTACTGGGAGACACCGCTAATTCCCAGTGAGGGCAATTATGGCCTTGAGGTCAAAAATGAAAAATATGACTCACTGAGGGGGTATGAGCCCTTTGGGTTCCAATCAGTGTCTGCCAGTGCACGGCCGCGTCTCAACACGTGCTGGGACTGTGTGGGATGCGGCCCAGAACGTTTGCTGTCATTCAGAGGTGTTACATTAGAGTAAGGGAAATAGTTGTGGCTGTAATTAAAGGCAGCCAGGAAACACTTGTCTAATTACTGCATGAGCCGGAGCTGAGTGGATGCGGTGCGGCTGAGGAATGTGCCCATCATGGGGCAGGTATCTGCAAAACACAGGCTGTCACAGTGGCTAAAGAAAAACTCACTGACAACATCAAAGCAGCCGCCCTGGCACTGACAGGGAGGTTTCCCTCCTCTGTGCAGGGCTGGGGTAGGCTGGCAGGGAAAAGGCAGCTGCCTGGCCTGGGATGTGGGGAGCATAGGTTGACTTTTTGGTAACTTCAACACAGTCTCACCTGAACAGCAGAAAAACAAGAGCTTTTGTCAAAGATGTGGCACTTCCCAAAATCACAAGTGTTTAATTTTTCATGAGATGTTGAAACAGACCCATCCTACAACCAGCATGTCTGCTGCCCTTCCCATTCTCCCCATAGACACATGGAAGAGCTGGCAAAGAGCACATTTGCACACCAGTGAAGGCCACCTTTGTACCAACTGCCCTCAGTTTCTGACACACTGCATGACTCTGCTGTCATCCATTTTTAAGAGATTGGGGAAGATTTCCCAGCAATTCTCCGGGCAGAGATCTCTAAAAAGAGATGCCAGGCCCTTGAGGAAAGGGAGATGCACACTCAGAGCTCTCTCTTCCCTGTGAGCTGTCAGCCAGGCACCTTGGTGGTGCTGAAGCCAAGCCCTTCCTTCCTTCCTTCCTTCCTCCTCCTCCTCCTCCTCAGCTGCACGCAGAGAGATGGTTGGAATGCCAAACCACTTAGGTAGGTGTGACCAAATAGCCCTATTGAAGGGAGCAAAACCAGTATGACTTCCTTATTGTGCAATGATTAATAAAGGCTTTCAGCTCTTTTTCTCCATTAATTGTGAATAAGCAAGTCCTTGATCATTTCCTTATCCATGGACCGAGTGAGATTCCTTACAGCATTCCTGCCCCAAAGTGGCCACACTGTGCTGGGAAGAGAAACAATTCCTGCAATATTGAAACCACACAGCAAAATCAGAGGCTGAAAACCTCTTTCCCAGTTCACCTGCGCTGAGGACAGCTGACACAATGTGATACCAGTCTTGGGGTTAGGGAGACCCAATGCTCCTGCCTTTACCTGTTAAGTTTTACACAAACTTAAAAGCAGTGGTCAGCTTTTGGGCAGGAAGAGGAGTGTGGCAGGCAGCATTTTGAATGTGATTTCTTGGATATTATAGTTCCTAGTCTCCCTTGAGCTTTCCTATGGCAAAATTTTCTATGTGAGAACTGTCCCTCTGTGAACCCCAGGAAACATTTTTTCCCCACCTTCACCTTCTTGGTCTACCTTGTGTATTGTGATGACCTTTTGTTTTTACAGAACAGGTTCTGTACATCTTTACAGACCAGATCTGCTCTTCTTGTCAGCCTCAAAACTCCTTGCAGAAGGGCTTTACTAAGAGGGAGAAGTTTGGTTCTTCCGGCCATGCTGGAGCCATGTCCCTAGGTGGGGACCCAGTTAACCAGGCTGGGTGGTGTCCCAGAGAGGTCTCTACTCTCAACCAGTCATGAAAAAAACAGAAGTTAAAAAATGCTGTAGAAACTGCAACCAGGTGCTAAGGGGAGCAAGAATACATGAAAAGTGAAAATTTGCCTTTTTAATAAGCCGTTACAAGTAAGTTGGGTGTTTAGGAGGGATCATGTGCTGGTGCTTGTAGTCATTCAGTGAAGATTTGGTGTTGTGTGCATGTTTTTAATGAGACTAGAGGGTGCAGAACAGGGCTCCTTTTCTAACCTATATTACAGCAATTTGTGCATGTCTGTAGCTGTGGGTGTTATGTGCTTTCTACTCTGAGTGGTAAGTTTCAGTTTGATTCTGCTCTCGAGAGCTGTGGGGACAGTTTGCACTCGCCTTATCAATGCAGAATCCAAATTGCTTCACAGTGCACCCAGCCCCCTGACACTGCAAACTGAGAAAATACACTTTAAGCACAGAGAAACGAGAGAGGTGACAACCAAAGGGCTTTTTCTCAGCAGAGCATCCCAATTTGCCAAAACCCTCACAACCCAGTCGGTGGAGCAATAAGCCACCTCAAGAGCCACAGCCTCGGTGCCACCCTGAGAGGCCCTAGACAGGCCCAAGCTAGCAGAGCCAGGATCCCAGGGCTGGGGCTCTTTTCCTACATCCGCTTTGCCCTAACATCCTGCCTCAGCCCCATTCCCTTGCACTGGTGTCCCAGTACTGGGGGCACAGCCTGGCAGATACAAACTGGGCAGCTGCAGGATGTGCTTGCCCATCCCCATTCCTCCCTGGGCAGGCCCTGAGCAAGACTGGCCACAAGTCCCTGACCAAAATTGTGCTCATGATTAGAGATGGCAGCAATGGAAGGGCAGGACAGGTACATCCATGGCCCTTGAAAAGCAGCTTTAGTTTTGCTCCAAAGGCTTGTGGTCTCAACAGTAATACCTGTGCCCAGTGTGCATCGATTTCCAAATGAGCATTGGTGTCTTTACAAGTGTTTGCTATAAACACCCAGCTTTTAGACTACACACCAATGTCTGTACTGGCTGTCCTGCTGTACCTACCTGGGCTGTGACTGAGAGGAGCTGTTTACGAGGAGTTCAGCACAGCTCCAGGGGGACAGCCCAGTTCCCATTGCCCTCCTTGGGAGCCACATGCCACAAATCACTGTGAGACTGTTCATAAAACACCCAAGTATTTCTAAGATGAAGTTATGACCTACATAGCAACTATATGTAGATTTCCTTTCTCCCTCACATCTACTTGAGTTTGTAATCCCCTCCAGATACAATATTCAGGAATGACTGCATTGTTTGCTGCACTGTTGTTGGTCTTGCTTGACCTCAAAAAGCAGCCTAGCAGATGAGGTGGAGCAGTGGCTGCAGGTGTGAGTGGCTCAAGAGCTGCTGAGCATGGGCAGCATGGCTCAAGCCCTTCTGCAGTGTAGGGCAGAATTATCCTTACCCTTCTAGAGAGCACCCAACAGAGAGGCAGGCTGAGGAGAAGAGGGGACAAACCTTAGTGGAGGCAGAGTGCTCTCCAGTTTCCTTCAAAATCTTAGCTACTCATCCAAAATGAGAAGGCTGGAAAACAAGGGCCCTCCCTGACCATTAAACCCATTTCCTGAAGCAGCACACACCCCTGCAAAACACTCTAAGTGCCTTGTTAGACTTGAACACGCTAAATCTCAGTTCTTTGCCACTGGTCTCTTGCCCATTATCTCCTTCTGCATTCATTAGCCGCAAGGAAATGCCTCACCCCATGTGAGTCTGACTTCAAAAATATATCAAGAGATGGACTCAGACACAGACTTCAGTCACAGGGGTTCTCATTTACCCCAGATTCAGGTTGTTTAAGTGTGGGAATACCAGTTGATGCCATTCTTACTACATTTTTTAAAAACTGATTTTCAGTGTAATTATTTAGATCAATCTAAACACTAAGGCAGCGATGAGTATCTACACAGGGGAATATATCCAAGATCAAGCTTATCTAAAAATGGAGGTTTAAAGACAAACTTTTTAATCTAAAAACTTCAATACTTCAAGGCCAGAGCTAAGCAATGAAAACAAGGACCCTGCAGCTAAGATGGCTGTGCTCTGGTTTTGGCACCTCCACTAACTAGTAGTGAGGTCTGGAACATGTCAGTTGACCTTCCCATACAGCACCCAACTCATTTGTAGAATAGGTACAAGACTTGTTCAGGCTGTGGTGTAGGACTAATATTTGTACCTTGTTTTGAGATCCTCTGATCTGTAGCTGCACACAGTTTGTTGTTCATAGAGAGAACAAGTTGCTTACAGTACTATCTGCAATATCATAATATTTAGAAATCCTCACTTATGGGCTATGACTACCCTGAACTCAACACAAACTCTCTCTGCCCAAAGGACCTCACAAACAAAGCACTATTAAAAACCCAAAAAACCACAGTGGCTAGGTGCACAGCTTAAATTTCCATTTTCTCTCAGCATTTTCCCACGAGGGCATTGCATGTGAGAGCACACAACAGAGAGTCAGATCACACCCGGATCGGTTGCCCTGGCATGCCATTTGGCAATACAAGAATGACATAAATTAAAGTGAAACCTCTTCACCTCAGCCCAAGTGAAAATGTGAAGAGCAAGGAGGGGGTTGAGGAGGAAGGGGAGATATTGATCCATATCTACTCAACAGTCAGACCAGTGGTGTGGTGGCAACAAAAGACATGCCTTTGCTTTTTCAGTAACTAATAATCTATAGAGAACCATTTCCTTTTCTGCTGTTGAGATAACACATTCACCATCTCAGCTTCATGCAAATAATTCATGCCTCTGCTTACCCAATTTACCTCTCTGATGCAGACACAAGGGCAGAAACCCCCCACCCGCACTGACTGACATGCTGCACTGAAAAAAGAGCCATCTCACCCAGAACTTTCTGAAATGCATAAATCATTAGAGAATAACTGCACCAAATGCTCTGCAGGAGACACATGGCTCCATAAGATTAAATGGGTTAATTTTGCTGGTCTTCAGTCCTGCCTCTGACTCACATGTGCTTTGCAGGCTGGAACTGACATTATCCAAAGAAAGGCATTTGGTATCTCTGCACACAGACCACAGCTGGTCAACAACTCATCCCAGATTTAAACATAATGTATTAACTCTCATCTGTTGCCAGAAATTAATATTACATGCTATTAAAAGCCTGGGCCCCCAGACGTGTGCTGAACTGAGGGGGCCTTCACATCACTTGGAAACAAACAGGTACCAGGTTGGACATGTGTCTGCATTGAATGGAAACCTTGTTCTAATCAAAATGCTGACACCACTTTCACTGGCTCACACACATTCACCTCTCTCCTCCATTACCGCACTGCAAGCAAAGTTCAAATGTCAAGCACCAAAAAAAAGGGACAGAATTAATTAAGCTTGTCCACACATAGCTTCAGGAGCAGCCCTTGCTTGCAGGATAACACACTGGTTTTCCCACAGGACTCGTACCTTGCTCAGTGCACAAGGCAGGAAATGCTCATCCTCCATGGGACAGGGAAGGGATGCCAGGATGCCATTCCTGTCACCCCATCTTCCTTTCTGGCTACATGGCTCTGGCCTTTGTGCTCCTGCCCCACTCCAGATGGGGCCATTTGCTCCTGAGTGCTCTCAGTGGGCCCATTGAAAGATGGCTGAATGCTTCACCTGGGAGACAGAGGTGGTATCCCTAGGCAGGACTGAAAAAGAAATAAAACACAGGAGTTTAAAGTCAAAAACTCTCTTTGGGCGCCCAGAATTTCAGGGCAGTTTATCCTACATGTTATTTGACTTTAGCTTATCTTAACCTCAGGGGTCAACTGGGAATCCTGAGCACCTTCAAACCAAGCACAAACCAGGGATAACTACACTGCATGACCTGTGAAAACTCAGGCTGAGTGACTTGCTCCATGCAGTGCACAACTCCTTGGAAACTCCTTGTTTTCCACAGCCAGTGGAAAACATTTCCCTTAGGCAGCACTCCAGTCTCTGGCCATGTCAACCCCTCCATCTATCCCTCCTCTTTCAAGAGACCATCTCCAAGGTGTGGGATTTACACTTTAGAGCCTCCTTTGGGTCCCAATTCCAAAGGCCAAGGGCAAAGGTAACACACATCCTGTAAACACCACATAATTATGCATGTCCATGAAGGACTGACTGAACCTTAATTCCAGTTTTTCTCATCCTCTGAGTGCCTGAGATTGCTGCCTTGGTGCTGTTCTCACCAGCTGCGTGGGCAGACTCTGAGGCTTTGGAATGCACATGCACTGGTAAGATTTGTCCATTCTGTGACTGTCCCATGCTATGGCTGCACAACACAGCAGGATTGGCACTTTCCATGTATCCATCCACCAGCTCTGCTAGCTGTGGCACTGCTGCCAGGAGAAGGCTGTCACCCATGACGCAGACTGGCACAGGAGGGTGGGGAACTTTCTGCTCTTCCTCTCCATCTCTGTTGCCTTTCTCATTCTCCCCGTCCCTGTGCCCATCCCTGTCCTCTTGCCTTCTAGATGAGCATCCCTGGGGCTCCTGGATCCCTGGCAGTGCTGCAAGTTGGTGGCCAACATCTTCTTTAGTCTTCCCAGAAGGAGAATTTCTGGGGAAGTGAAGCAGTGAAACTCTACCTTTCTTTGGAAAACATGGTGCCTACTGAGGAGACCCACACAACTAAGGGCAAGGGTGAGATAAAATACTAAGAGAGAGAAAAAGAAAAAAAAAGGAAGAAAACATTTTCACAGTCTGCAGATGCAAAGTGAAACTATTTTGATAGATTCAGCTCTCCCACATTGAAAGGTCCAGAGTTTCTCATCTCCGACTTTACTCTGAGGCATGAAATTTCAATGGCCTGACAAACTGTGACATCCACGATGTTTTCTGCCTCCTTGGAAGCCTATTGCCAAAGGTCCCTTTCAGTATTTTGCTGCGTTGATATTACCAAATAACTCTTCTTTATGGTTTTCCTTGTTTTGACACATCTTCCTTTGCTAATACTTTCCCCTGCAGCTGAAAATGCAGTGATATGGAGCTGGTGCTCCTGTCAGGACAGTGACATCTCCATGACTAGATACAGGCAGCCAGGGAAGAAAATAACTGGGTCCATGCTAGCAAAATATCCCTTTTACTGGCAAGTGATCACCCCCAGTTTTTTCACAGATGCTGAGAAAATTGCTAAGCTGCTAATGTATGCAAGAGCCATTTGCCTTCAGCCTCTTCACAGAGATTCCTCCAGCTCAGCAGAGGCCAGATCTGTCCATTCACAGCCTCATTTCACATGGTCTTCAACTACAACCCATGCAGTGGACATTTAAGTCAAGACTGGCTTCTTCAGAAGCATTTTAAATGAAGAGAATTGTGTTTCAACATGATTTTACAAAAGCTCAGCCATGTACTTGCCTTCCCACAGTTAGCTCAAAGGAGTAACAATTCCATATACTGTCTTTGAAGATTCTTCTTTTGCTCAATTCTGTTTTAGCAAAATAACAATCTAGCCACAGGAATGAAGGAATTGGTAAATGTTTCAGTTTGAACTGAACATCTTTCAAAAGGAAATGGAAGGAAGGAACTGGAACTTCTTAAGGAAGTTACAGAAAGGTTCAAAGGAGTGCGTGACACTCATTAGCTTGTATCATACAAGGAAACAACCAAGGATTAAAAATCTATTATCCTGGGATTATGCTATGAATTTTCCTCCAAGCGTTATGAAAGGTTTCTGTCTCCCTGCTGACAAATCATCTTCTACAATGTTGTCTAAATACACAGTGCCTCATCCATTCACTGTCACCATTGTACCCTGTGATTCAGGGGAGATAAGAAGATAAACCAAAAGAGAAGTAGCTGCTGGTTGGTTGTATCACCTGTGAAATATTCATACCTGATGTGTTGTTTGCTAGAGTTGATACTCAGATACTTAGAATATGTTTCCTTCTTCTTCATGAAAATGTCCCAGTATCACCTTGGTCAGTTTTGGCACTGACCAAGACATATGTGTCCTTTGTCCTGCTTCAGGGGTAACTAATGTACCTCTAGAATGATTTTTAAAAGCTAGGAATGGGGTAGAACAAACCACAAAATCTATGCTCTGGAGAATTTTTGTCCTAGTACATGCAGAAATTAAATTGTGTTTGTCTCCTCCCTCTGCTCTAAGGACAGAGGTAGCATTAGTAATACAGAACATGTCACTCTTCAAGCTCTCATGCAGCTTTTAAAACATAGAGAGCAAATGGCAAATTTACCTTTCATGTCCTTTTGAAACTTAAGTTAGGCCTTATTGGTAACAAGTGAAATTAAACTGGTTGTTGCTGTTTAACTTCTCCGTGCTGTTTCCTCACATGAATTAGTCATGACCAACTCTACTTGGCAACTGTCCTTACAAAAAACAGAACAGAGAGAAGGGTTAAGCACTCCCATACAATTTACCCAATAAATTTGTCATACTCCTCATATAGAGTTGTCCCTCCAGTTTTGCCTGTTCCCTAACATATCTGGCAGTTTGAACAATGTTGGCAATATTTGAGCAATTAGGCATTCCAAGTGGAAAGGTTAATACACCTTACCCTCAAATGCAGGGTGTGTTTTGTCTTGTGCCTTTAACCATCCTTGATGAGCACCGATTGCACAACAGCCATGAAGTAGGAAGGTCTTTCAATTTCAGCACAGCCAGCTTGTTTTGCTTTAGCAAAAGGCCAATAGCCCAATGCAAGGATGGGATAAACACACCTTGACTTGAGTGTTACTGAGGCAGATGAGAAAAAGGGAACTTCACGGTGGGTATCACTTTTTGGGTGTTAAATGCTTTGGTCATCCTGGCACAGCTGCAAAACCAGGTAAAAGATAACCCATAAAAGAAAACACTTTGATGATGGAGCTTGGAATAGGACTGTCAAGGAGGTGTGAGACTTAGTTCACAGGTGGTTTACTTCCTACTCTTTTGGTTGAGCAGCATTAGGACCTCAGTTTCTTTTTTGGAAAGTTCTCAGAAACAGCAGTCTGTTTGTGGCCCAAGCAGCAAGTTCTGGGCAAGAGTGGGCAGAGCTGGAGAGATCCTGCAGCCTTGCACCAGCTGGGACCTGCAAAGATTCCAGTCAACCAGGATAAAATACCTCCCAAGCCCAGCAACCAGCCCAGCACCACCATCCTCAGCCCAAGCCACTGCTGAAGCTGGAGAGCAGCTGTGGGTTGGAACCAGCAGCGTTGCAGAGGAGCACCCAGGTCAGCAGGAGGCCAGCAGCTGCCACAGCCCTGCTCTGCCACAGCAGGGCACACCCAGAGGCCAGCCTGCCTGCCCTGCCCGGCAGGGATGCTTGGCTGTGCCGTCCAGACCTAACTAAAGAAAGAAAAAACAAATCTAAGCAGCATGGAGAGATGTTTTGCAGGTCACAGCAATGCTGCCCATCCTCCCTGAGCCTTCACAGGAGGGCTGGAGCACTGGTGGATGAAGGAGGTCAGGTCTGGGATGTCTACTTACCCTCTCCCACAAAACCTGAGTGGGTCTGAATGACCCAGCCTGTGCTGGGGTGGTCCTGCAAGGCCCCACAAACCTCACCAGGGTCTCTTGTGCAGCAGCCCTGGCCTGGTAAAAGCTGCTGAGAATTCAGCACCCGGCCTCTCTACTTGTGGCTGGTGGTATTTCCCTTGCTGGGGTGATGTTAATGTTTGTAATGAAGCTTTGGCAAAGAAAGAGAGACATGTTGTAACCATTAGCAGACTTTACATTTAGAATTTATCTGAGGAAAGGACAAAGGATAACTCAGCTTGATTAGGTTTTTGTACAAGTTTGGGTCTAAGCTCTCCATTGTAGTATCAGTCCCAGTCTTCACCATTTTCTTCCTCTGACCCAGAAAAACTTGATCATGAAAATAATGTTAGTTAGAAAATAATGGAACTGATAAGTCATTGCAGGCACATGTGTGTCTCATTATACATCAGTTCGGTTTCACTATATATTTTACACAATGTAACATAAATTTCACTACGCACCACAAGTATTTCAATATGTGATAGTCAGAAAGTGGCAGTTTACACTAAAAGTTTCAGTATGTGGTAGGATATTTCAAATACTATAAATTCTCCTTTTAAATTAAATGCATTGTGTAGATTAGTAAGAAATGCAGTTGCTTTAGTTTACTCAATGTGGTTTTCTTTCAGAACAGTATTTTAGTACTGTACTGTTCAATTGCCATGTTTATTTTATTAATACATATTAATGGATAATTAAGTGAAAATTCATTAAATATACACCACACAGGACTCAGGCAGGAGTTCTGTTTCTTAGATCTTTTATCTCAGCTCAATTCATACCATATTAACAAACACACTGCATTTAGAGAGACTGTATTAATGAAAAGAATAAACTTCCTGTTATGAGCTTGGTTTTTTAAGTGAATTTTCTTTGAGCAAGTAAAATTTGATGGATCTGAAAGCTCCTGTGAGTGTGAATTGTTAAATGGGCAGGCATATGCAG